ACCATTTACTTAGGATCATTAAGAAACTTTGGAAACTTAGGCATTTCTGGAACAACTAACGCTTAAATAGAGCTCTGGTTCACTGGTTTAGCCAGATGAACTAGTGCGGGCAGCCAGGTAGTATCATTAGCCCGAACATAATGAGTGTTGCTCATTGTCTACTGTACGAAGGTGAAAATGGTTGTTTAATGCATTTCGATTTGACATTTTATATATATATATATATATATATATATATATATATATATATATATATATATATGTATATATATATATATATATATATATATATATATATATATATATATATATATATATATATATATATGATCCTAAATTACTTTCATGGCTAAATATGGCCCCAGTCTTCTAGAATGTAGTGAAAACATGTCACAATAAGTAATTTATGCAGTCAGAAAGACTGATTAACAATATAAACAGGATTCAGTATGGATGGAGGGTTATGGAATGATTGGTTTATGAATGTCTTCGATTATTAAAGTTTCTGTTATGGGTTTTGAGTAGAAGTAGTTGTACTAGTGAAAACTAACACATTCACATGAACATTATGATACGAATCTGGAGACAGTACAGTGATATTTGTTCCGAAAAAAGTAAATGATCAAAACTAATCATTGCTGTTTTGTACGAATGTACGGGGATTTAAAAGCCTACTCACCACATGAAGAAGCAGATCAGGAAAATAAACAAGGACAACAGACTTTACTAGTTGGTTTTAGTAATGACCGTATCCTACTAGACATAACTCATTAATTTCCTTAGCACCTAATATTTCAATGCTTATATGAGTGAGAAAATATGACCCTATGGTCCTCTTTGTTCGTACATCTTTACCGAATTTCGTAGAAATTTGACTCTCCCTTCAATGTTCAGTTGATCGAAATCATTGGAAAAATGGATGAGATTTTAAAATAATTATTATCATTCTGGATACTGCAAACATTGATATGAACTACACTAATGGGTTGTTAATACCTATCTCCATAACAAAGAGCCTAAGCAAATACATGGACTTTCATGCAGTATATTACGAGCCATAACTATTGTGTGAGGACTATTGACATCATATGCCCATTAAACCTCAGTAAATGGGGTAGGATTCGAACCAAGAATTCACTTGCTAAAGATCCAATAATCCAATAGTTCTTACTAATACATCTAATTTGAGAAATTGGGTGAGTATAAAGATGAGCGTGAAAGGTTCTATTTGTCAGGCAATAACAACATAGAACTTGGCATTGATGCGTAACACTTTAAGTTGCTATTCCTCACATCACAGACAATTTAACACAGAGACTAGCAAAGAAGTAAATCACTCCAAGATGTCACACTTCACAGAAGCAGGCAAATAAAAAGTGGGTAGAAAAAGTGATATTCAGGTAAACAAAAGTATATTGATGGAGAGAGAAAAAATGATAGTTGGCAGGAGTGTTCAAACTTTAGATGTTAGAGTGAAAACATAATTGATTTTCATCGTTTCCATGACCTCAGTCAGTTATTCCATAACTTCCTACATGGCTCAAACTGACAGTCAGTGCTGTCACAGCTCATAATTTTCCACTGTTAATAGGACCGAATTGACTGACCACCTTGGCGTACGGGCTTCCGGGAGAATGCCTTGACATTGCTCGTATTTTTAGTTTTGATATTACTGATAGATAGTGGTTAGTAGTAGAATTCAGGATGTGTGTTTCGTCCCATTTGATACATCTAGCTGATACAATTCCAAATAGGACGAAACACGTGTCCTGGATTCCACTTAGCCACTGTTTATTATTAGTATCACAACAGTCAGCGACTTTGTCGGCTGGTCCCACGTTTTGGCTTGGTCACCTTGAGCCTACTTCCAACCCCATTCTATTACGGCTAGAATTAAGCATGAAGACAGTTGATGGCGGCTCAGCATGCACAATACATGTCAAAGCCACTTCAACCCATGAAGATTCATAACCTCATCGTCCGATTCGCCTTCCTTTCCTAGTACCCCATATCTAACCACAATATTGCTCACACGGTGATTTCAATATAAGCAAACTATGCTACTAAGACATTTGTAACTAAAAACCTGTAATCTCCCCATATCTTCAACTTTCGTCGGTCACGTCTCACAGTCACATGATGGGATAAACAGGAATGTAGAGCAGTATACTCGTTGTTTCATACGTAGTCGTATATTTCGTTAGGTCCAGAAGTGGCGAAATTTGGAATATGCTAAACGGGCCTTTTGTATCCTAGCTAAGATTTCGTCAACAACTAACCCATTTGGACCAATGCAACTACCTCAGCAAGAGGAGTGATCAACACATTCAATGAGTTTACTCCCCATCCTTACCATAAGAACTAGTGCAGACCAGTCCTAAAACATCACCTTACATTTTATGGGTGAAAAAAGTATGCCAAACATACTAAGATTTCTGCTTAAGGCGTTCAGAAGACTGTTTTTTCATTGTCTTCATCTAATACAACAGTGTCGTCTGCACACCTCAAGCCAACCAGGCACCCCCTAGGAGTAATTCAATTTCTGAAAGGTCGGAGGTTTTTAGCGTTATATTCAACGATATATCCATAAAAAATTAGACAGGATTAGTGATAATGAGGATCCTTAGGGGCAACACGATAGAAGTCAAAGAAAAATATGTATATGCATGATCAAAAGTCGTAAAATGTGTCAAGATGAAAATAAGAGGGGTTGTAGAAAAAATCGAAATGTGCTACAACTTTCGAGATGAAGACTTAGATGCACTTACACCACTGCGACCGATTCCCAGCCATATCACCCAGGGTCTTTGATCATTGGTTTCGTTTACGACGCCGACTTCAGCCTGAAAGTTCATATATCTCCCTAGAGTCAGGAACCTCATGAACTGAACCCATGGTGACCCACAGCTTTTCCCGACATAGACTTACTTCAGTTAACATAGCGTGTCAGAGTAGACGGTGACTAGGGAAGCGTAAGACATGCTCCGTTAGCCTCATCAACTGACTCACCCCTTTTACATTCGACTATAAACCCAACCGCTACACACTTTCTGAGATGACTGCACGAAATGCGACCAAGGCTAAGAATGTTGATCGCACACCTGAAGTCTTCTTATTTTATCCATAGTGAATTAATGATTCTGAATTTTTTCGTAACTCCTATGATATATATATATATATATATATATATATATATATATATATATATATACATGTACGGTTTGAAAATGCGTTGAAACACATTTGGCCGGATTTCTTGTTTTGTCAAAGTCGAAGGCATAAACTGATGTGCCGTAGCTGATCCTCTCATTTCCAGAAAGCAGGCGTGACGATGGCATCATAACTATTGAATCATAATAACCGTTTAGTGTAACTCAAGTGGACGAAGTATAAATATGAGATATTACTTAGTAATTTGTCAAACAGAATCTAAATAATCGCATACTTGTCGCATAGTTATTCGTGCAGGTAAATTAAACCAGAGATCACTATGGTAACAATGGAAAATGATACTGCAAGGTTAAAGAAAAATGATTACGCATTGGTAAAAATGAACAAGAACGTCATGCATAATATTTTATCTTGAACGGGAGGGGAGAGTGTAGCAGCTCAGTTACACTGTCTAGGTGATCTGATTTTTACATGACATTTCAAAATACAAAATAGATGTTTATCCATCAAAGTATACTGTTGAACAACATGATTTAGGAACCTATTCATACTGATTTGTGAATTTCGCTAGCCAAATGAGAGTGACCTAGACAACAACCACTCGTATGAGATCGAGCTCATCAGCGGTGTACCCAAACAAATTCATTCCAAAATGGAGCGTAAAATTGGTAAATCATCTGAACATTGGTCGACTTAATTTAAACGTTTATCCAATCAAACAGAAAGACATAGAACCTTGCACACGTATGCATTAGTTAAAACGAAAAAGGAAATCAATAGATAAAAAACTGCAAGACAGATGAAAATAACATGAGAGGAGCGAGAATAAATAAATAAATACTGGGTGATGATTGAAGGTGAAATGAAAATTCGGGCCTCAGAAGGATTCAAACCACAGACCGCCGGGTTTTCAGCCTGGTGCTCTACCGACTGAGCTACGAGGCCTAATTGTTGATCACATTTTTATTTCACTTCAATCACCACAGGTTTTAACCGACTACTGTGTGAATTCATGACGCGTTACCATCGCTTGGTCATTCTGACAGTGGCTACGAAAACACGGCTAAACAGCTAACTGCTTGCTGCAGTTCATCTGTAACGGCTACGTACCAAAACTACAGACTTTAACAGAGTTATTTGCTCAGTACTGTTATCACCCATGTATAGGTAGTCAGATACCATACTTTTCAGTTTTAGCGGCGAGATTATGACACAAAAACTTAACTCTCAAATTCTTTTTGAAAGTTTCGATAAACTGGAATTTTTGAGTCTTGTTGAAGGCATAGGTTATTGAGTTGTGACTTCGTCTATCCCTCAAGAGCACTAGCCAATAGCTAGTCTGTTCACAATGTAACAACTTTTTAACTGTAGATTGCTCAGCTACCCCTTTCTATGCTAATAAACTAACCTAGATGGGACAATAATCAGAATTATTTTGTTAAGTTGAGTAATACTACTTGGTTGGTCCAAATGTTAAGGTGTACTACCTTCTTGATGTGCCGAGATCAATATCACAATCGAAAAACAGAAAGGAACTGAACTGAGATAAAATGAAGTCAAATAAATTTTACCATGACTGATTATCTACTTAATTAGCTATTTAAGTACTTCATCTTACTGACACCAAAAATGGTTGGCGAAGAGGCATGATCTATTAATACTGATAGGATTTCCGTAGATTTTTGAGAATACAAATGTGATTAATCACTTACAATCGATAGATTTCATGAAATCACAAGACGGAAACAACAATTCATTACTGGGAGCAAATAACCAACTGGACACTAAACTCTTAGGAAAAAGGAGTTAATATAAAATTGCAGACTTACAATCTCTCAGTAAATCCTGGAAAGCATGTATTACCCCCCATTACCATGAAATTTGCCCAAGCTCCCGGTCGTACTGCAGCTGGTAACCGTTCACACATCAAATACTGAATAGCCTCAGTAAGACCCATTTCTTGATAGCCAACGTCAGAAGGATAGAAAAGTAATTCGGGAACAGTGAAACGTTCATTATTTAAACGTAAAATATATCCTTGTTGTGACTGATTAGAAGTGCGTTGATCTGGTTTATCATTAGCACTGTTTCCTGGAGCCTCAGTGTTAGGATTACGAACATATCCCCGATGTATATCCACATAGTTTGGTAGTACATATTCTCTTAATATGCTGTTTGACTTTAGATTCGACCTATACCGAAAAATATACACAGAAATGCTAATAATGATTGAAAATAGTTGGTATTTTACCAAGCATTGTCTGTCGCTTCGACAGAAATGACTATAATCGATGTAAGAAATCACAGGCAGAAACGTCTTTCTGCAGTTTGTGCTGATGTCTAGAATGATAATGAGCTTTATGATTAAACCACATAGCTCAGAGAAGGCACCACTAAACTAGTCCCATTGAATTACGAATATTCTTCATCTCAAAAGATACGGTTACATTAGCGGTGGCTAAAATTGTGCGATCAAGGAGATTGATCCATATAGGCATATTTAGAGAAACCTTCAAAAATTATTTCTACAAAGGGATAACCGTTATTACATTCTGTAATTTTATTTTGAGAATCACTTATTTCTGACTAGATTTAAACGTAATAATATACATTATTCAACTTGGTGACCGCTGATGTTAAGCCAAAGATGGATGAGGATACGTTCCATTGCCAATAACTATCGTTAGGACACCACAGCTGCTTTTAGAGTAGGTCCTTAGACTTTCGTCATCAGTTTATTTTAAGCACCTATGTGTTTTTTAACTTAAATGGATTCAAGAAATATGCACCTGGAAACCTTTTTATGCTTATTTTGGAGATGAAAATATCAACTATGTATTTTAAGAAGAAATAACTGAGTACTTATCGGTATATGACAGATATTTTTGTCCTGAAGCAACTTGCTATTACACGCGGTTTGTTGTGTAACCAGTAGTACAAAATATAATCAACAATCATTCACGAGTAGGATCCAGTGAATCTCTAAATTCCCATCTAAATTAATTGGCGCGTAGGAATGCTTTAAGTCAGCTACAATCATGACAAGGAGTGAAAACAGACCACATGCAAATAAAGTGTCTTGATTTTATAGATATCCAAACAGCTTATGATTTGAAGGTCTGCAAAAATCTTCGTTGTGACAGTGAGCAGCAGTAGGTGATGAAGGCTAGATAAACGAATGAAGACTTAGTCACTAAGAAATACTCATCATCTTCTTCGATTTCTTCGTGCCTAATCCGAAAGGGTGGTGATTAGTGAAATTCGCAAAACAGGAGACCAAAATATTAAGCGAAACGACTAGAAAGTTTAGATGGTCTACAAATACACTCCAGTTGCCTGTCATCTAACCTCATCTCTACAGAATACTACACGACAAGGAATTACTTTGCAACTCACCGAGTGACATTCATATCCTGCCAAAAATCAGTAGATACATAACATACATCTTCTTTGCATTGATTCATAATGTATATTTCACTTCGAACATCTAAATGTCTGAGAAAACAGATTAAAGTTCCTTAACCGAGGTTGATTACCGATAGGACACAGCTTCAATTAAACGATTTGTAAGTATTTTACCACCTACTGTCAACCTTGAATAGACACGACGAACAGAAAACGTTGGGAGAAATAGTTTAATAAAAGAAAAATATACCGTATCACAAAATCTTTCATAGCAAATCCATCAGCCATTGGTACGATATGTGTAAACGAATATCCAGAGTCGATAATTACACAATATCTAGAAAGACGTTGAGCTGATTCACTTCGATACTTGTAGGCACTTAAAAAGGCAGCTATGGAATTGTTATAAGTAGACCAGTTAGCTGATGAAGCATAACAATAACAACTTACGGTTAGTACGAATTAACCCGGCAACTTGATAATCTTCGAAAAATATTTCATTCATAGCTTCTTTAGTTGATGAAAAATTGAAATATGGTTCCGTAACAATTAGATTATGATCGGATAGGGAGAAATTTTGCTTTCAAAAGAACAACGACAATGAGATAGATTAGTTAAGCTAATAACACCATTCAAGCTAATATTCATCACAGACTGACATCAAACGGACAAGAGTCTAAAACCTGGGAGTACTCGACAGCTGTTTTGTGGGGGATGAAACAGTTGTCCAGTACTCCTAGGTTTTTAAAGGTTTTCCAACTGATATCAGTCCGTGATGAATATTAGCTTGAAATCGACCAACCAACCCCCCACAAACCTCAAAACTGAATATCACTTTTCTGTCTAGAACAGAAACGAAGTTACATACCGAGTTCGTTTTAAGCGTGCTTTTAAGAGCTGTATCTAAAATCTGACTTTGAACTTCCCAGTTGTTAACGTAACCCTAAATACAAAAGAAAATAAGTTAAAAAATGAAAGAGTTCTATGAACAAGATTATTTTACAAAACTTATTATGTACTAAAATTAAACACAAAAACCCATCATAAATGTTTGAGTCTCGTTTACTTTGTTTAGCAATCGATTGAGTAAGTAGGATCTTGTGGACAAAACACTAAACGAGGAAGGACGTTTTTGTTTCATAATATGTATACTTTATTAAATGAGGCGAATGAATTCATCACTCAACTTTTAGAGTATAAATTAAATCAACTAAATAGTCTTCCTACTGTACGGTAACCCTATAAGAAAGATATAAAACAGTAAATGTTTGCAGGTAAAACGATTTAAGATCGGCTTATAATGATTAAAAACAGAAAAGCACATTGGTCATAAAACCCAGAAGTTTATGAGGGATAAATACATCAAAATAGACGAATAGATCTGTGTTTCAGAAGTAACTGGATGGATAAGCAAAGTTTGAAAATGGCATTAATATATTTCTATTAGCCCCATTGCATATTTTGTTCTAAACGTCTGTTAACTTACAGGTTGATTGTGAAGTGTGTGTACACTTCTGTTCTGAGTGAACACTATCTTTTATGAAATTAAAGTAGTCAGAAAAATCCCAAGAAAACTGAAAGATGTTAACATCAGCAGCTCCGAAAATAGACAAGACCCCTAGTTTATAAGTACTTGGTATTTCAAGGAAGCAGAAGTAACAAATGTAACAACCTTTGAATGCTTGTTGCTTTTCCTCCAGAATACGTGATATTACTAGCTCTTTCCCGGTAAGGTTTCATAGGCTTGGAATCTTACTCACCTTCCCAAAATTGATCGTAGGTAGTTTAAATCACTCACGAGTTTCTTCCACAAGGATCGAAGTATTTTTTTTATTGGAATCCAGGAAAATCTTTTCTATGTACGTTATAATACATCTGTTAATCAATGTAGTAACAAGTTCAATCGCTAAAACAGATCAACTGTATCGTATAAACGAAATCCGCGACCGTTCTCTCCTTCATCACAACTAACCAGAGTCCAGTCTTAGAGAAAGCTGGCACATAAAGATTTCGTTTTAGAAATAACGACTTTCATTCCAAATTTTGGACGCAAATGAGTAACTGCATCCATACTTTTTAGGTCATCATCATCATCATTATCAACATAGGACCAGGCATTACTGCGTAACGGTCCGAGTTGCCACACCTCATATCAGCACATCAAGTAAAAGGTAGTGAGGTGAAAGATGAAGGTCGTACAAAACTATTGAAAAAAACCTTTTGTGTGAGGGCTATTGATATTACCTGGCTGCCCAAACCTTGGTGGGTGAAGCGGTGTTCGAATGAACGACCCAATGGTCGAAAGTCAACTCCACAGATCAATGAGCCACAACAAACTATCGTGACACTGTTACGGAACTGAAGAGTAAGTCAATTAACATCAACGTGAGACATGGTATTACTGTGTAACGGTTCAAGTTGCCATATCTCATATCAGTACATCATGATACAATGCAAGAAGACAAAGGTAAGGAAGAAGAAAATGTGAAGGTATTTTCAAGCTACGATCTTCATTATGAAACAAGATAAATACAGAGAACAGCTAAAGCCTAATAATCCTTTCAATGGATTTCCATTACCGAATATCGATGCAGTAACCAAAAGAAGATACGACTGTCTAATTTATATATAATGCCTTTTATAAATAGTTTTTAACTTCATGGTATGTTAATTTCCTGATTTTCTTCGCTGTTGCTTACAACAGTCTTGAATGAACTTGAAGTATCTGACAGAAATAAGGTCTCGTCATTATGCGGTAGTAATTGAAAAATTAACAGTTGATCACTGTATTCAAGATAAGGGAAAATAAAAGATTAGCTCGGAAGAGCAATTTGCATTTTAATAGCTCAGATGTCAATCATTCCTTTAATTTATTCGCCTCGGGTGTACACAACAGATGGAGGGGAGGGCGGCGGGGGTAAAGATTAGATTAATAGAGGACTCTTGAAGAATAAAGTGTAATGACCAACTACTAAGTGTCAGAAAGCTTTGCAGTGTGAGTTGCTTAAAACAAAAAAACACTGAGTACAACTAACTGAAGTCAAACAACTTACTAGGCTGATAATAAATTTCAAGATATGCTGAGTTTATTTCCCAGAAATATTACTACATAGAACAGTCCCAATAGAACACGACAAACTACCTTGATTGTCAGTTGATCAGTTTTCCAATGAAATTTCAAGTTTACCAATTCCTTGCTGTGGGTGTGACAATTTACAGTTTGCTGGGATATACTGTTATTTCTTAAAATTCGACTGGAGAATGTAAGAAACTCAATTACTGTTAGTTATGTCGTTTTGGAAAAGTTGAGCTTCCGTGAAATTCCAAATCTGGTTTCACAAACTAGTTCTGCAAATGGCTAACTTGCAGTATAATCTAGTCAAAACCTGCATGCAAGCAGATGAAGTTTAGCTCTGTGTATCATCATTTGGGAGGGAGAATAAACGCACTCAGAACTTTAAAGGCCAAAAATTCTGAAAACTATTAATAATGCCAATTAAACAACATATACTGACTGCAGCTTGCTATCTTCTAGTGAAATAACAAATACTAAAAGTAGTAGTGGGGTCGGTGAAGCTATCTGATTTACTTGACCGACTGATGGTTCTTAATCTATACAGCCATCGGTATATTTTATGTATGAGGATTGTATGAGTCATAATTAGTGACCTAATGTTCAATTATGTCACAAAATGCTATCAATATCAAAGAACAAGGAAATTTAGGGTGAGAAATGAAGTTCCACTTTAGTTGATTTATTAGACGAATCACGCAGTGGAACAGTATGCTTCACTGGAGTACGTTTCGGACACTAAAGAGAAATTGAATTCCAACACATTGCTTAGGTTTTACTCTTATATTAGTGAGAAACAAAACCAAATTAAAAAATTGGTCCAGCGTATAAAACACTACTTTTAGAAGTTGTCGGTTTTCTGGACCAAAATATTCAGCAATTAGTATGCACTGCCACTGCTCTGAAGCATTATTAACACCATCCAGTGAACTACAGTGATATCAGATGTTTTGGGTGAGCTATTTGTAAGCCTTCAACGTAGGTTTCGTGCTAGCTGACATTCATCAGCAACCTGTGTTTGCAATATCGATGAGACTGACATTTTCTCGAAATTTTGGACGCGCCTTGCCGCATGCAAAAGTTAGGAACTTTTTCAATGAGACCCCGGAAGACAACTTATAGGACTGCGTTATGTAAACAAATTGACTGTGGAATGGTAACTGACATAAATCTTAAGTCCCATGCAAACTAGTTAGTATCCAATACAACCTGGCAAAACCGTGTAACGGTCCGGGTTGCCAAGCACCACCTCACCAAGATATAATGCAGTAAGATGTGAGGCAGCGAAATATAAAAAGCATGAAATCAAAAGGTAATGAAGGTCACAAGAAGAGAAAAAGTGAAAAATTATGATATGAAGTATTATGATTCGCATGAAGATTGTTTGGATGTATCTGCGCCACTATGAACAGTTCTGAGTGATAACACCTAGAATCCTAAAGCATCGTTTTTGGTTGTCATGTAAACTGCAACTTGGTGGCTTACACGGCTCAGCCCAGTGGGTCACGGGTTCAAACCCCGTTCCACCCACCGAGGTTTGGAGAGCCAGGTAGTATTGTAGTGGGCGTTACTGATAACAACGGATATAAGTAGTATATATGGAGAGGGTGGCATGAATCATAGGGAATTACCGGCAATGGGTAAGGTTTCTGCCAAGAGCAACGCAGGGGACAACACAGGCGTATTACAGGGGATGTTGCTGATAAGAGTGTATGAAGAGCCGGTCAAGAGCAAATCAAGACAGGAACGGAGAGGAAACGAAGACATTTGCAAATGGCTGCGTTAGTGCAAGGAGTACCATATGTAACCACTACCATTCCAATTGTTCGTAATAAACATTCTGTCGTCGAGTTGTCTTCTATTTCTTCAGTATCACTGGCTCTCAAGTAATAGGTGTAGCTCACTGCCTATTGCACGAATGTGCGCAAGGTGGCTGAGTGCGTCTCGCTCGTTTCGTCTTAGTACACGGCTCAGGAACTTTGGGCACTGACGATATGTTTTAGTCTAGTCGCCTCTAACCTATTTCCAGCTTAAACCTACTTCAACTAACATTGGACGACGAGACAGAGACTAGGCATACGTAACAAATGTGCTAACCACCCTAGTCAATGCGAGTTTGAAACCTCATCAACCTACCTCCCTTTTGCTTAGAACTCTACACCTGGCTGCTACGTTTATGTGAAATTTCCACGACACAAGGTCTGTGCAACGAAGGCAATTGGTCGAATACCTGAGCCATTCTCGTGACCTCTACCTTTAATGACCACGTTTCGCAGCTGCAGAGTTGGACGGAGTGAATTGTTGAGTAGTATACTAAACACTTAATAAGCAATCCGAAATCACGCTAGTGACATAAATGGGACAAGCTAGCAAAAGTCAAGAGAGCATTTTGCATCCACGCTGATATTTTGCAGATCACACTGACTCAACATCGTTAGTCGAACTCCTAAGTAAGTGAAGTGGTCAACGCACTCAACCACTTCACTCCCTACTGTCAGAATGGGAATGAATATAGGCCTGTCTCAAAGCAACAATTTCTATTTAAGATAGAATAAGAAACATACCACCAACATTCTCGAACAGCCACTAAAAGTATTCAGAAAACCGCATCTTGTCAGTGTCCTCACTTAACAGGAATGTATTTTTTTACTCTAGATCTGTCAAGGATTCTCTTATGATAACATGAATCCCAATGAAGTCAGACGACGAGAGGGAGATCTTCAAAAGCACGTCTATGAGAAATCAAACAAGAGTGAAGAGACCAGAAACCCTTGATAGATAGCACTAGATATGCACAACTCACCTTATGTTCAAACATAGCCTCCGACACAACCAAAGACATCCCAATACATAGCTAGTAACAGTGATTTAATTGCCGCACACTCCAACTAGTGAACTGACACTCTTACAAGACCTCTCAGTCGACGAGTCGAATTCCGCCATAAGGCAGAGAAATGAAGATAGTATCACGCACCAGTGAGTGTGCCTGAATTCCAAGTCCTGGAGGAGATCAAAGATAAGGCTGAGACACCCACAACCAAATCCAAAGCCTATCTGGCTTCTCAGTGTTCGCTGATCCCAAGCTCCGCAAAAAGGTCGAATGATCACAAAACGTAGAATCTCAGACACTTTTCATTAGGCTGATCTTTTTAAGACAATTAAAGTGTAAATTTTCTCTGATTTTGAAACCTGGAACAATCAACAACAGAGAACAGTCAGAGGGTATCATACCTGACTACAATACGCCACCTAATCATTCTGTCACTGAAGCCAATAATCCTCGGCAATCGATCTTGAACACCTCCGATGCGATTCTCATCGAAGTCAGTTGTTATTTCTTGTTTCACATTATTTACAGACTTTTTAACTTCTACAAGAGAGATCTAAACCCAATATCAATATTCCATTCGGGATATATGTCTAGCAGATGAGCAAACGGTAGGAGGTAGTGAGATTGAAATGTACTTAGCAACCGCATGCACGCTTATGAAGGAGGCAATGTCATGCCAATTGTATGGAGGCCAATGACACTCTCTAGCTGCTCACACATCCGCATGTGCAGCGAGATTAAAACCTGTGACCCATCAGTTGTAAGTCGAGTGTTCAGGCCAAATCCAACACAGACGTGTGCTACATGCATGCTACATGTGCCAGTGTGCTACACTGTGGTAAATCTAATAAATCAGTGAAAATGGAATTACAGTCTACCACAGTGCACAAGTTTTACTCTTATACTAACATGCTATGTTCATAAAGATGGTGGAATAAGATACATCTTGATCTGGATTCAATCCACCCCCGAATACACACTGAAATAACCAATACACATACGATTAGAGCTATAATCACATATGTACATACAAATCTATCTGTTATTCACACACTCATCACACAACACACTTCATATGGTCATCATCTTTGTCCAATAATTTGACAACGCGGAATCATCCACCACGAAAGAGTCAAATCTAGTTATCATATACAACCCTGGAGATTGTAAGTTCTGGCTTACTATAACTTTGATAAAGCTACTAGCATTAAATAGCGAAACATTAGTAAATACAAGTTTGTTTTGTTTTAAATTCATTGGGAAATGCCACGACAATGAATTTCACCTACTCAATACCCAAAGATTTTCAAACTCTCAAATCCTAACTTGGCTTCCAACTCTAGACAGTTCCTATTTGAAATCAGCCTCAGCATCGTCGACACCGTACTGGTTTGGTGAGGTCTTGCAGCTTTAGGCCTTCTACATCCATTTAGGCACGGAAATACACTTGCTTAAGCCAACGCACGGTCGATGTCCTGACACGTGCTCTGGAAGGAGTGGCAATCTCCTAAGTACCTTTTTTGCGACAACTGATACCAATATGGTCCATCTGCGAACGTCGCTTAGTTTTGGTCGGTGGACGCCACGTCGAGTAGTATCTCTTTTTAAGTCCGGAGTTAGTCCTGGTCGAAAATAGATGGTTGTCTGAGCAGAGTTGTAGCGACCAATCACCATTACATGTTCGTTTGGCTGGGTTTCCGAGTGAGATTTTCGTAGATGTTCAAACGAGGATAAATAGATACTGTGTGCAGTTCGCCTGCAGAAATTACTTTAGAGAAGGGTGCAAAGCAAATATATTAAACCTGACGTCATCTTATTTCAAATTCTGAATGTATAGGGAAATGCAGACCGAAACACTGACGTACACTCGTGTTGCTTATATTTGAATAATGACAGTGAACCGCATAGAAACTTTAAATGAACAAGGTGTATACATAGGTGAATGAAATAAAATTGATTCAAGACACTATTTAGTAGGGTGTGAGAAAAGCATGCTGTACTGATGGGAAAATTCCGCACAGGAAGCCTAATGTCATTTTATAAATAGTACAATCAAATAATACTAAAAGTGAGTACTGTAAAAGACTGTTAACTAACCCATACAACCTGAGAATATGGTTTGTTGGTTTCAGCGCTCGACTTTCAGGCAATGAATCCTGGGCTCATATCCCACTTCACCTACTTTGATCTCAGCAACTGAGTATAGTCACAAGTCTTCATGAATACGGCTGACAAATTTATACATAAACCTGCATCAGGCTGTCACATTATTATTTACGTTGCAAATGGAATATTGTTTAGAAAGAAATTCATCAAAAAAGACCACTTTCAACAGACATAAACACCCACAATACTTACCTTTTTGAATGGCATAACACAAAATAAACTTGATAGATTATTACACTGTTCAATTTCACTTCCAATGAATGTACGACCAGATAAAGTTTTGATTTGAAAATACAATTGTCAACTATTCTTGGAGAGAGCAGAGATTATTGAATGTATCTAGAGTAAACTACTTTGGATGAACATCTGTAGAGAATCCAATTTTTAGCGACCCACCACCCATATCAATGATCATTGTAGGTGATGTCATAATTTACTACAAACCAGAAAAATTATCTTTTGAGTCCTGATAAAAAAGTTAATGAAGCAAGATAAAAATGCAAATAAACTAGTAGTTTACTGTTACACAGAAGGTTTTAATTAGATCCCTTGATAAACGTATTTCAACAAAATAATAAAGCATACACCACATCAATGAATGCTGCTGTATCTCCGTGTTTTTACTTGTAACAATTTCAACATCCGACTAAAAATGTTAATAAAAAACCGGATAGCTAAACAGGTATAAACTAGCATAACCGGTAACCGTTCAAAGAATGTTACATAACAGAAACAAGATGCAATTTAACGACCATACACTACGGTATGACCACCACTTTTTGAGAGTTAATGGTACCACCCGGCTGATAGTTGCTACCTTGACATGATGGACGGGCGTGCATATCACAATGGTCCGACAAGCTACACTAGCAAGAACGCTTGTTCCTGCGAAGTCTTACCAGAAAGGTCTGTTGGACAGTGGTAAGACCAAAAGCAGTCACCACTGTAGTATAAATTGTTACGTTATAACGTGGATCTGAGGGCAAAGTCGTACTACTGGCTAGATGAGGTGTGACAGTAGTAAGGTGCTTCCCTTAGATGACCAGCAATGCCACCCTGATGCTGCCTTCCCTACGGGAAGGAGGAAGTTAGGAGAGGTCAGTCCCTAAAATAGAAGATTCCCCCTGCCTCACGGTCTCCTGGTGCAGGTGGTATGGGTTTTTTATGTCCACCTATTAGAATAACTAAATCTGAAAACAAAAATCCACAAAAGGGTGTGTGTGTGTGTGTGACAGGCCTCAAGCAGATCTCCCATGGAGCGTTGAGCTGTGGAGCAGAAAGTGCGCTACTTGACTGGATACCAGTAAAAAACCGATTATATACTGTTCAACTGAATGAGTCTGTAAGAGCTAGGAAGGATCATGAAACCAACCGATGTCTATTTATAATCTCCACCTACACACCCACCAACTGCAATTCGGATGACGCGAAGAATGAATTCTATGAACTGTCAATTTAACAACGAAAAGCAAAGCGTTCAGACGTAGTCATAATGGAAGGTAACCCTAATGATGTATTAGGGAAGCTGAGCCAATCGGAGAGGCCTCTACGGAATCCTATGCCAACGAGCCGACAACGGTGATCGTCAATTGCAACTTTGTTCCAACAACCATTTGTTTTTGGCCAGCACTAAGTTTAAGCATAAAGAGAGACGCTCTTTCGCATGACGTCCGTCGACTCAAAAACAACTGTGAACACAGATCACATTGCTATGGGCCATCGTTGGAGGATTATCGCTGTTTCTGGATTACTTGTTTGGACTCTAATCACGCGCTAGTGTGGGCTTACGTATGTCTGGCCGAAGAAAAGTGGTGATAGTAAAGCATGTCCTCGACTGACAAATGAGCACGTTAAGTACGCATGTAGAGAGGGGTTAGCTAAGCATTTATCTGAACATAACAGCAATGCTCATCCAGAGGAAACCCAGCGTGACATTAGGTCTGCGGTAGAAACAGCAGTAAAGACAGATGGTAACGTACACTTGAAGGTCAGAAAACGTCATTGGATTTCCGCAACTTCATCCGAACTGATTGGTACGAGAAGATTGATTTCAGCTGGTTTTGACCAAGATCCAGAGTGAAAGCAACTTAAACGTAAACTGACCGATAGTTTTTGCAATGATCGCAAGCAGTGGTGGGTAGAAAAAGCGAGAGAGATGGAGAAGGCATCAGCGTTAGGCAACACTCGGCAACTACTTAGGCTTACTAAGGATGTTGAGAAGAAAACGATGGTTAGCGAAACTATCACCAAAAAGGATTTGACGGTGATAACACCCCCAGGATAGGCGGTTGGGACGTTTGGTAGAACACCTTGAAGCTCAGTTCAACTGACCCTCAGCAATGCTTCTGTTGCCAGACATCCAGTCTGAACCTGAATAGCACGTAGATGTCAGTCCTCCAACTCTCCTTGAAGTTTAGAAGGCTGCATTGAACCTGGAACGATGCAAACCGGTAGAACCTGACGGCTTGCTACATGAAGTTTTCAAGGATGGAGGTAGGAAATGGCTAATTAAAGTTATGAAGGTACTAGGTAGTGCATGGGAATCAGACGTAGTGTCATCAAACTAGTTTACTTTATTAGTCATCCCAGTCTGCAAGAAAGAAGAGAAATTTTCATGTGACCATAAAGGAATTAGTTTGACTTAAACCGTCTCTATAACCTTAGGATCCTTAGTTATCCAACGCCTAAGTGGAGCTAGAGAACAGCAAACTCGAGAAAACCAGGCAGGTTTCAGACATGGATTAGGGTGTGTCAATCATACTTTTACCCCACGACAGGTTCTGGAACATAGGCATACATATCGACCAGTGGCCGACACTTGCGATATTTCTTGACCTTAAGGTGGCATTTTACTATGTCGACTGTGAAGGGAATACTGAGAAAGCATATAACGCTAATCAATGCTCTCAACTCGAAATCACACAAACATGTAAGGGCTTATGGAGAATTGTCATCAGAATCAACGACAACCAAAGGTGTCCACCAGGGATGTCCAGTCACCGTTCGTATTTAACTTCTCCGTAGACGTATTGATGGGCATAACCTCAGGTACATCTGACTTCTTACGGATTGACCTACTCTCTGGAGGTCATATGGTTGACTTGGAGTATGGAGGCAATATTGTCTTGCTGGGTGAAGAGGTAGACAAAATGCAGGGTCTTCTTAACGCGTTTAGCGGGAAGCTGAGTTTGACTGGCATGCGTTTCCGCCTGTCAAATGTAAGATGATGCTCCAGGACTGGTCTGCTGGTCACCAAAAGTATTGAAATGTGAGTAAACCTTGAGGATACACTTTCAAAGAAGAAAGTGTGAAGTAATTTGCATTTTCCTCACTTTACGAATAGAACATTAAGAAAGCGTCCTTCACATTAACCGTGAAGTCCAATGCACACACAAATACCAGACACAACTACCACTGAAGTGTCGTAAAACCCTGGAATACTCTTCCTGCAAAAGGGATCCAGGATACTTCATCCTAATCCTTCAGATGCCGACTTAACACTTAAGATGTGGGTCGAATCTGCTTAGAACCAACTGAATTTCTAAATTTTAACCGCCAGTTTTTATCGTTCTTTAATTTTACACAGGTTAACAACCACAAGAACCAGTGATCTATGGATTCTAGACGCAGAATTCATTTAACTGTAAGCTTCTATTGTCAATAACTATTTGTTCTTTTGAATGCAGAACTTTTCGCGGAAATCCAGGAATATCAAGTGCTTTTGATATTCTTAAAGAATTTCTTCAGCATTTCGAGGAAGACAGTGTGCAAACAAGCCCCACGTTTCTAGGTGGTATTTTTCGCCCAAAGTCGTTTAGCCAGTGAACTTGTTTCTGCTAACTAGATTTAAAAAATCACCAAACACCTCAAGCAAACCATAGAATTTCTGAGTTATAATGTTCGATACACCTAAGCAAGTGTGATAACTTCATGTAACTCCACAACTTTGTGGAGTTACATGGTATGAATATAGACAATGAATCACGTCCGTAAAATTATCCAGTAAATGATACTGTTCCAATGTGTGATATTTTTAATAAGCGGACTAAAATGTAATTGCAATCTATTGCAGTGCCGAAGTTTTGCTTTTACATAATTATAACATACGGAGTTTGGTAGTAACGCCAAACTTGAAGCTCCCTCATCAGATCTCGGACTTCAAAGATCTTGTGGTACGATTACAAACGGCGGGTGACAGAATACTAGAAGCTTTGGCTTGATAGGCTCCCATGTCTAGTGATAGCAAACAACTAGTTAATCTGTTTGATAACCCACATGTATAAAAAAGACCAGGCAAGAAATTAGATCGAATATCCAATATCTTTTTACGAGCTAGTGTAAACCAATTGATTTCTTCGTGCTCGCTTCTAGGTCTTGCGGAACGGTTTCAGTTCTTTGGTGGATTCCAATGCAAAGGACTGCAGCTTCAAGCGCACCTTCAAACTTCGTGTTGTAGAATCAGTGAACTGCGATTCCTTGGGTTTTTCGTCTGTCTGATTGGAATACATTCTGATTTCGCAATGGTCGCAATTGTCTTCTTGATTCTGAAAAATCTGAAAGGATAGAAATACGATTAACTAGTTAATCTGGTCTCAAGTTAGCATTATTGCATCTGATCTGAGGAAAGCTTCTCGAGTACAGCCCATCGGTACGGTAGGACTCGATGTGTGCATCTAGCCTCCTTTTAAAAGAACCAGGGGATGGGGCTGTAACAACTGCTGAAGGGAGGGAGTTCCGTAGTTTACAAACTCTAACTGCAAATGAGTTAGCACGGATCTTTGTACGTGCTCACTCATGCTCTAGTCTTAACGGGTGACTCCTCAGGTTGCGTTTCCGACTAAAGCTTAGAAGGGATCTATTAGGATGGAAGGGATTATGGGCGGCGTGGTACATCATGATCATATCCCCTTTGACCCTTCGGGTATTGTGCTGGGTGCGGCTGAAGAGCAACTAAGCATTCTGGGTACGGCTTGTGCCCTAGGCCAATCACATTCTTTGTAGCTCTTCTCTGTACCCGTTCTAGGATGGCTATATCCTTTTTCAAGTATGGAGACGTTATACTCAAATTTTTCTCTAGATGAGGACGAATCTACAGAGTATACACTGTGGTGAAAAGAGAAGGAGTTAGACACCCCAAGATTAGTGAGAGAAACCCCAGGATTCCATAAGCCCTATTGGCTGCAAGGAGACGGTGAGCTGAGGCTCCT